TAGTTTAAACTGAATACACAGTAAAAAATTTTGCCTGTGTAATTTTTTTAGTGTAAGGGTAAATATATTAGAGTTGATTTGTAAGTGTAAAAGTTTCACTACAAAATACACTAGGTAGCATTTAGTGCTTATTAACTTTATTAAACACATTTAAAGAATATGAACATTATTCATTGGTATATTCACACTATTTATTATTAAAATAAATCAAAAGGGTAGAAAAACTTAATGCGAGTGTTTATTACCCCTTAATGTGTTAAATAGTGACAAAATGTACACTACAGTGCATTCCAATTTCTTTGTCTGTTTTGATGTTACTAAGAGCTCTTTTTTCTTTACACTACTAGTGCATATTGTATCGCAATTAAAGTTAAATTATACCAATAGAGGCAAAATAAACTGAAAAAACTGGTAATAACGGAAATGCGTTTTAAAATGTTTGGTTGGTACCTATCTACCTACACAGTGCATATCCGGAGATACCACGTTGTGGAAGTGTGGCATTTTTGTTCAGTTAGATTTTAATTACGGTGAATCCATAAGAGGATATTCTTATTATTTTAAGTATTATACTTCCTTTTTCTTCAAGCCTTAATACTCAATAAATACCAATATGTTAAAAGGATGTCCATACCCGACCTATATTATATATCAATTATTTACGGCAGTAGGTCGGGTACTTGTAATATTAATAATATAAATACATAAACACTTGATTTAATTTTTATTTTCAAGCGTAATGGTTGTTATATTAACCTATACCTATATTTTTATTAACATTATGGATAATTTGTACACGTGTGCTAAATCCCAGACATACAGCCGCCTGACGTCTCTCTACCAATAGGATCACCCATTTTTTATAACAGAAAAATGGATTACTGATGAATTTTCAAGATAATTCATTGCTTACAAGTTGACAGCCATGGCTGCAGTAAAACATTGCATTGATCTAAAACTTTTACGTTTTAAGGAACCATTTTGCTTAAGCCAGCCATACGACTCAAATATAAAATTATATTTTAAAAGGCACCGATTTTGATAATTGTCATAGATTTTTGTTTCCTCTTTATTTACCTTTTCGTTTATTTCACTCATTTTTACTTAAATAATAGTGTTAATTTACACTAGAAGTTTGCACTAAAAGAGTAAAAACTAATTAATAAAATCTTAAACCACAAAAAAGAGAAAATAGCCATTAACAACGTTTTTCCAATATCTAAGATTACCATGAATACATACAATAGTTGTACATATCTAGGTGCTAAGATGAGACATGTATCTAATTTCTTTAATAAAATTAATAGTAATTTAGCATTTAAAACCAACAACAATCTTAGTAAGTTTATCAAAAACAACAAAGATAAAACATCAAAATCTTCAAAATCTGGCGTTTACCAACTAAATTGCAGAGACTGTCCGAAAACATATATAGGCCAAACGGGTAGAAATTTTAATACACGAATTAAAGAACACAAGTTATCCTATATAAACCTTAAACAGGATTCTTCATACGCTAACCATTTAATACAAGAGAACCACACATTTGATGATAACTTTAAAATATTACATGTAGCCAATAAAGGTACCAAACTAAATCTTTTAGAGTCTTTGAAATTAATAAATTAAAGAAAAAATCTGATATTGTTCTTAATGACCAAATTGAAACTAACAGCTCTCCTTTGCTAAATTTATTTTAGAGTGTGTACTTGTAGTACTAAAAAGTAATATTTATTAATATTATAATATTATATTAGATAGGATTTCCCAAACCCTCAGTTTTTCCAAAATTATGTAATTATATAAATTTTACCTTCAGGTATAATGTTTATATAACATTTATCTTCTCAAATTACCTGCCTGTTGTTAATATAAATACCGCCACTTGTTAAAATAAGTACTAATTCTGAAGAAGCTACAGTGTAGCGAAACAATTGTTAATTATTAAAAACATAAATAAATTAGTGAAACTTTAAAACAGTGTTGTTTTCATTCATATATTAATAATATGGAGTTTCATCAAGTAAAGGTCGAAACAATCAACAAGTCAAAACACTATTTAGTGTGGACCCGTGTAAACTCTAATTAGTATTGCTTAGAGTTGATTTTTTTTACTGTGTATGCCGTCGACAGTGCATGGTAGATATATCAGTCATAGGTTACATAAAAAGGGCATTTAATTCCAAGAAAACGACAAAAAGTTATAGAGGTTTTAATAAAAACGGAGCACTCAGTGCACCTGCGCGACTAGTTAAGGGTTAAAAACAAATTGCATAAAATGATCTCTCCTTATATTACATTTTAAAGTTTTATACCTCTAAAAACACCCTTTATTTAATCTGAGGAAAAAAGGAGCACACCCCAAAAAGGGTAAAATGATTTAAGATTTCTTTATTCGTTAATCATTTTATAACAGCCAGTCTAACAATGACGTTCAACTTGAGACGACGTTATTTTTGCTCGTCACATTTCTGCGTAGATAACGTCTCGAGTTGGGGGATGTATTAATCAAATTCAGTTTAAAAGTTTTTGCGTATAAGATTACAGAATTTTTAAATACTTACCAAAATCTCTACAACTTTATTAAGATAACACAACTTGACAATTACTTGAAACTTTTGATATAATTTTTGAATTAGCCTTAAAAAATACAAATAAGCTTTATATAAATAGGTTTATTTATGAAATGGGTAAAGCTAATATAATAAATTACTATAAATAAACAATTATTTACAATTTACCAATATCCTGGCGATACTAATCTGAAACATTATAATATTAATATATTAATAATATTTTTGTTTTAATTTTTTGATGTTTTAGAATAATGTTTTATATAGAGTGTGACCCATTTGTTTGCGACTCACCCCTGTAAAATCTTTATTTATTGTGTGATTTTAAAAGGATTTGTTTTAAACTGTAGATCTTGATAAACTGTATTTTTGAAGCAAAAAACGTCATATTTTTACAAAATACAAGGCCTACTATGTCAGTTTTCAAGATTAAATTTTTAAGAATTCATATTAGCGATTTTTAAAAATAAAATCTAAGCACGGCACTGGATTCACCACCCCTCAAAACGACCCTATACTAAATTTTACTAAAAAATTTTAAGAAAAAAAATGCACAATAATAACTACAAAAATTTATTTTGTCAAGTTATCCATGAAAAAACATTGAAATAAAATTAAACTTATGGTAATAGTACCATGTTAATATTAGTTTAATTTTATTTCAATGTTTTTTCATGGATAATTTGACAAAATAAATTTTCGTAGTTATTTTTGTGCATTTTTTTTCTTAAAATTTTTCAATAAAATTTAGTAGGGTAGTTTTGAGGGCTGGTGAATCCAGTGCCGTGCTTAGATTTTGTTTAAAAAAATCGCTAATAGGAATTCTTAAAAATTTACTCTTAAAAACTGACATAGTAGGCCTTGTATTTTGAACTAATATAGAGGTTTTAATAAAAACGGAGCACTCAGTGCACCTGTGCGACTAGTTAAGGGTTAAAAACAAATTGCATAAAATGATCTCTCCTTATATTACATTTTAAAGTTTTATACCTCTAAAAACACCCTTTATTTAATCTGAGGAAAAAAGGAGCACACCCCAAAAAGGGTAAAATGATTTAAGATTTCTTTATTCGTTAATCATTTTATAACAGCCAGTCTAACAATGACGTTCAACTTGAGACGACGTTATTTTTGCTCGTCACATTTCTGCGTAGATAACGTCTCGAGTTGGGGGATGTATTAATCAAATTCAGTTTAAAAGTTTTTGCGTATAAGATTACAGAATTTTTAAATACTTACCAAAATCTCTACAACTTTATTAAGATAACACAACTTGACAATTACTTGAAACTTTTGATATAATTTTTGAATTAGCCTTAAAAAATACAAATAAGCTTTATATAAATAGGTTTATTTATGAAATGGGTAAAGCTAATATAATAAATTACTATAAATAAACAATTATTTACAATTTACCAATATCCTGGCGATACTCATCTGAAACATTATAATATTAATATATTAATAATATTTTTGTTTTAATTTTTTGATGTTTTAGAATAATGTTTTATATAGAGTGTGACCCATTTGTTTGCGACTCACCCCTGTAAAATCTTTATTTATTGTGTGATTTTAAAAGGATTTGTTTTAAACTGTAGATCTTGATAAACTGTATTTTTGAAGCAAAAAACGTCATATTTTTACAAAATACAAGGCCTACTATGTCAGTTTTCAAGATTAAATTTTTAAGAATTCATATTAGCGATTTTTAAAAATAAAATCTAAGCACGGCACTGGATTCACCACCCCTCAAAACGACCCTATACTAAATTTTACTAAAAAATTTTAAGAAAAAAAATGCACAATAATAACTACAAAAATTTATTTTGTCAAGTTATCCATGAAAAAACATTGAAATAAAATTAAACTTATGGTAATAGTACCATGTTAATATTAGTTTAATTTTATTTCAATGTTTTTTCATGGATAATTTGACAAAATAAATTTTCGTAGTTATTTTTGTGCATTTTTTTTCTTAAAATTTTTCAATAAAATTTAGTAGGGTAGTTTTGAGGGCTGGTGAATCCAGTGCCGTGCTTAGATTTTGTTTAAAAAAATCGCTAATAGGAATTCTTAAAAATTTACTCTTAAAAACTGACATAGTAGGCCTTGTATTTTGAACTAATATGGCGTATTTTGCTCCAAAAATACAGTTTATCAAGATCTACACTTTAAAACAAATCCGGTTAAAATCGCACAATAAATAAAGATTTTACAGGGGTGAGTCGCAAACAAATGGGTCACACTGTATATATATATATATATATATATATAAAGGTTAAAAATTAAAGTAAAAGGTTTTAAAAATGTCATTGATATATATATATATATATATATACATGAAATTTATATTTAGTTTATTTTTATAAAGGTAAAAATATTAATAAAAATGTTTATTGATTATAAAAAAATATTATTCGTTTAGAGCTTTGGTATTTAAACTTACAAAGACTGGGTCTTTATATTATATTAAATTAATAATAATAGGGATCATTGGGCCAACCGTTGTAATATCCATTATCCTCGGGATAACTAAAAAATAAAATTTATTAAAGTTTAAAAAAATGCCTGTTTACAATGTAGAATAATAGTTATTTTTGTCATTGGACTGAGAAGTGAAGCCGAATGACATGCAACATTTTGTCTTTAAGGCGCAATTTTAATTTAATTTTAATACATAAAACGTAGAATTATAATAATTATTATTAAAATTATAAAGTGAGGTTAGGTAGATCTGACAGTAGTTGAATTTTTTTATTGGCTCTAACTAAAAAACTTTACCAGCTTGGTCTAAATTATTTGTATAGCCTTCAGTTTAAATTATAGAACACTTGAAGGTAAATGTTTATTTATTTCTTTTTACTTTTTTTGTAACATCCCCTTATTCACTCGTGTTTTCAAATATATTTTGTTCATACCGTTTTCTGTTGCGAATAACGGTAATTAAACTTAAAGCCGTATTATAACTTAAGATTTATGCCTATGCACGAAAAATAAATAAATCAACTGGCGTGCAAATTTTCACTAAATGCTTTAAATAAAACTCAAAGATTTATCAAATTAAAATCAGAAACAGTTTCGGTTTTTATTTTGTTGGCGATTTGGTGCTTTTGTACTTTTAGTGGAATATTTCGGAATTATAAAAGTAAAAAAAAAATGTTTTAGTTGTTGTTGGCGAACAATTTTAATTGGATCATTTAATAAAATTTTAAAAAGTCTAAAGTTCAAAAACTAAATTATTTTTTGTTTCTAATAAAAATATAGAAAAATACATTTAAAAAATAAATATAAAAAATGTGCGATGCCTGGTAAGTCCGTATGCTATTTACCTTTGAAAAGTGTAAATTGTGAAACTGTAATATTAATTTTCCAAAGTAATATAAGTAGTAAAAGACTTTCCTAGAGAAAATAAAAATGCAATACAAAAGTATCTATAGTTTTTTTTAATGTGTTTAATGCGTCATGAATTTGAAATGTTAAAAACCTGTTTTTCGACATACGTCCATCACAAATTGGTGACGTAAAACGTTTAAAAAATAGACATTTTTAATATATTAATTATTTCATGTTAATATTTCGTACCTGTATCTTTCCTCTGCATGAAGAAACGTTGGCTCAGGTTTGCAATGAGCCTTGAGGGAAGCAAACATTGCTGGTAGCAAAAAGGCGATTACTAACATTATTTTTTTTATGAATAATATTCCACTTAGTATTATTGACACGATGACTTTTACTTTGAATAGCTTAAAAAGTAAGAATATTGGAATAATAAGCATTTTCTTTTTGTGTTTTTTTCCTCTTGCCATTTCTTCTGGTCCTAAAAAATAAAACAATTTTTACATCATCAACAGATATTAACTTTTGAAAATAAAACAATTTTACATCAATGACGTATCAACAGATATTAACTTTTGAAAATTTTTAAACCCTATTTATTTATTAAAACTTGGTTGTTTAACGCAGTGTTTAAATATATCTTGATGGAGCCGTTCTCCTCGTAAAAAATTATATTAAATATACACAAATAATTGAACGACGCGAATTTGCAATAATTTTGTAAAAGGTCACTTTTACTAAAGACATTCTAAACGATGCATCGCGACGCTATTATTAATAAACATTTAGAACAGTTGTTATTCATTTTGTAATGTTTGGTCTAAAAAATTCCTCATATTGGAATATTAAAATATGGAATTTTTAAATATTTGAATATTAAAATATTTACCAGTACAGGTCCAGTGAAGTTTAACTAGTTTTAGAGATTTTTCAGCCAATCTCGAAATTTAATAAAAACTTCTTATAAAATTAATATTGTATCTGTTTTTTTGCTAATCAAATAGATTATAATAATAATAATTATTATAAAAAGTTATTATTAAATCTCTAAGCTATAAATTTTTCTTCGCAAAAAAACCGATTTTTTTCGAGTCTCCTATGAAATAATTTTAGTTTATCATGCTTTAAAAGCTCTCTTCAAAAATCAGCTCAATTGATTAAAAAAAAATTAATGGTCGCACAATAATTTTGAAAATTCAAAAAGTGGTTAAAAATTTTGAATTAAAATTCGAACAATTTTTTTGCTTGCCACGGTAAATTTTTGTAATAAGTTTCTTAAAGTTTCAGCTCTGAAGAAAAATCTACTTACACCCTAGATAATATCTAATATCTATTAGGCTTTTGATACTGTGGACCACGAATTATTACTAAAAAAAATAGAATCTATTGGAGTAAGTGGAAATTCATACAATTGGGCAAAAAGTTATCTCAAAAATAGATATCAAACTGTGTCAAGACAAGAGCACTTCTCTGAACGAAAAACAGTCTCACTGGGAGTACCACAAGGCTCAATTTTGGGGCCGTTATTTTTTATAATATTTGTTAATGATATATTAACCCTGTCAAATCAAACTAACAAAGTAGTATTGTACGCAGATGATACAAACAAACATTATAGTAAGACATAAGGATATTAAATATGGCCAGTCAAGCTACATTGAGTTCTGAAAGTTTTAATATGTGGTGCAAGAATAATGGACTAATGGTAAACGCAAAAAAACTTTTCAAACAAGATTTATACAAAAGAATATTTCACACAACTAGGGTTTACCTGTTTTTAAAAGCATTTAAATGCATTCGTAAATATATACAATCCTTCATACATGACAGCTTGTTTTATGTACTTTTATCAATTTTATTATTCAATTACTTGAAAAATGTTTCACAGATTTTGGATTTATATCAATTAACAAATGTTTTGCTATCATTCAGTTACCATGAAATAAATAATTAGTATTTTATGTAATTATGCATTTTATTTGCATTTAATATGAACATAAGGGTGTATCACATGGCCAATTCTGAGGTGGTAATTTCAAGAAAGTGTCAATTTTTCTTCAATAATAATGACAACAAAGAAGATTCTGATTCTATCAGTAACAACATTTTCTGTAGTAAGATCATTTTCCCTAGTGTTATTTGCGACGTGGACAATTTCCAATATCTCACATAAACTAAGCTTACACTTCTTTGAGAATTTTTGAGAAGAAGGCGTAAACGGTTGTGAAATTGTCTCAGGCGCAACTTTACTCTCCCTTTCTGGATATTTGAATGGGTAAGAATCAAAACGGTACAAGTGCAAAGAAGAGAATTGGAGTTATTAAGTTTTAAAGTTTTTACAAAAATCTGGATACTAGTTTCAATATTATTGTTTCATTAATCAACATGCAGAACTCGTACAATTTTCACATCATGGGAAATTAAAAAAAAAAGGAATCTAAACTACAATTGCACTTATTTTTATGCTAAAATGCACTTGTACCCCGTCGACATTCTATGATGGAATTAATGGAAAATTTTGTAGCATAAACACTACACCAAAAAAACAACGTTTGGTTACCCAGTCTATATATATATATATGTTTATATGTGTGGTCAAGTTAAAGCATCAGCTGGGGGCTTAGCCAGGGGAGGTTTTGTGGGTTTGAAACGCCCCCCCCCCCCGAAATGTGCGAAACGTGTTTATTTTATTATTTTTATAAATTCAAACAAGTGTAAGATCTTTAGAGTTTCATTTTACTCTAATATTTTACCAAAACCCCCCCAATGTTTTTTCTGTCCACGGGCCTGTAAAGCACACAAGGCCCTGGCCAGTGTCGTGACTACTGTAATTCTTTAAATGTAGGTAAGTACCTACATTGGAGTAAGTATACTTAGCTGTAAACAGCTTTGCCTAGACCTGGTAATATTTTGTGACTAGTAATTATTTTATATTTTCTGAAAATTTAATAATGCCCCACTTTTAAACACATTTAACATATTTATTTAATATTTTATACATATATGATATTCAGGTAATTTTCAGTATTAATTATATTTGGATTAATTTAATAAATAAATACACACAATTTAATTATAGACATATGATTTATTTAACCAGTTTAAAAATGTACTAAATATATTATAATTATAATTATTTCAAAATAAAATATGATTTAAACATTTTAATGTAAATTTTTTTTTAAATAAATTATTTCAGCTTTATTCAATTTTAAATTAAATCATAATAGTATAATATTTATTACATACATACATATCATATGTAACATATGTATCAAGTTTAATAAACGCTATTTTAGTCACGAATCTAATTTAGGAACTAGCGAGTTTATAAACGACTTGCATACTATAGGTACTTTTTCTACGACAAATAATTATTATTATCTAAAAATGATTTAAATTAAATATTTGTATAGAGCTACATTTATAAAAACAATGGAGTAACTCGCGTAACATTTTCTAGCTTGGCAATCTTTATTACAGGCACGCCAGTCAAAATGAAAGTAAAGATAATTTTTTATGGGCACGTCACCGTGGAGACTCCATCCGAAATTTTTAATGCTTTCGGTTAAATATAATTTACTGCCGGCAAAATCAAAAGGTCAGTACAAACTTGCATTACAAGAAGGGAACTTTATTTTAACGATTCTATGACAGTTGACAACTGTCAACTAAATTAAGACTAACCTCAGCCTGTGACTAAAAACCTGTTGCTAACTTCAGCCCGTGACCAAAACTCCATAAAGCCGCAACTTGTCAATGTGTATTTAAAAGATCAATTAGTAACGTTATAGAAACATGTACGATAATGGGTGCTTTAAAGGAGGGAGTAGAAAAAAGTATATTATGTAACAAGTTTGATAAACTCCATTTTAGACAAGAATTAATTTACGCACGAGCGATCTTTCGAGCGAGTGCTTAATTAAATGAGTGTGTAGAAAAGTTTATAGACGAGTTGCATACTATACTTTTTCTACGACAAATACTTTTATTATCTAATAATGATTTAAATTAAATATTTGTATAGAGAGACATCTATAAAACAATAAAGTAACCAACTTGGGAATCTAAAATGACAAATTTTATGTGCAAATCGAAATGTATCCCTTGAAAATGGACCATTCAATATTAAGTTGAATTTAGTTTACTGCCGAAATTAAAAGGTCTGTTCAATGTTCATAAAAACTTTATAAATATTGCTGTTAAGAAACTATTTAATACTTTTGTATTTTTATATTGAGATAATAAAATAATTTTTATATTTAGTATTATTTTACAAGAAGAGCACTTTATTTTAACGAGTGTATGACATTTGACAACTGTCAACTATCTTAAAACTAACTTTAGCCCGTGACTTAAAACCTGTTGCTAAGTTCAGCCGTGACTAAAACGCCATAAAGCCACAACTTATAAATGTGTATTTAAAAGTTCACTTAGTGTCATGGAAACGTGTACGATAATGGTCGTTAAAAAATTAAATATTTTTCAATGTAATACATATTTTCAAGATGTATAAGATAACATAAAAAGTTTTATAAGAAACTCTTTATTGCGGACTTTTTAAATCTATTAAGATCTAACTTATAATTACGAAAATATTAAATTTGTATCGCTGGCTTAATTAAAATTTATTGAACGTATAGGTTCAAAACTTTCCTTAATACAAATTTAAAAGGAAGTTTTTAACAGATACTTAACTAAGTTATATCTGTTTAAATATTTTTTTATAATAAATCATAGCCCAAAACATGTCAAAACTTCCTAACTATAAAATAAAATTACCAAAATTATCCAAATTGAGAGTGGACTCGTTTTTTAAATCCACAACTAGGCTGCCGTCTGGTAAATTCACCAACAACCCATTCGTATTAAAATAACTTAAAGTTTTCCTGGTCATAAATTTTACCATCTTGGTTACTTCCGAATCGTCCGTGATTTGCCTCATGTTCGGAAAAGTTTTAAAGTTTATCGTTTCGTTATTTAGTTTAACAAACTTCACTGTTTCACTGTTATTATAGCTTGTTTCTTTTAATTCTTCTGGTTCACTGTAAAATTTCATTAGGTATTTGATGAACCTAAAGTGCCCACAGTAGAGTATAATTTTGGACTTGAAACACTTATCCCTTATTTCCGATACATACTCATCGCATAAGGTATACTTAATAAGGAACAACAGGAGGGAGAACCGGATAACCGTACTTCTTAACGTCATTTTCGCTAATACTCACGCGAAGTAATTTAAAGACATACTTAAGGCATTTATATAAATATTTAAGCTCCTAAAAGGTTTTGGAAGGAGCAATCTAATCTACATAAATTAAATATGCTGTCAGGACCGCACTCGCTTATATTTCATCAGAATGTTGCACTGGGGAAAGATATTTCTTCTAAGATAACGAAAAAACTGTGTCTTTTTGTAAAATTGCGTAATAGATTTTCCTTTCGGTTTAAAATATTGCTTAAATAAGCTTGACAGCTGATATCTTTAGATATTGAGAAACATTTATGTTCGAATATATTTTTGTAATCAAATATATTGAATTATTGATAAAAATTATACACACACATAATAAATATCATTAAGTATTTACCTTTAAATATCATGTTTTTAACGAAATATTATCGTTTTTTTGCAATTTAGGATTTTTTATAGGCACCTTTTAAAATATGTTGTTTTAAACATATTAAAATGGCTATATATACGAGGTGTGTTCATAAAATAACGGGAATTGTTAAATTTCGCCGTTCCGGAGGGTCCGGTTGTCATAAAATTTTATTTATTATGTTGGTATACATGCCACCAACGTATGATAAAAACTTTAGCTGTTTTCATTGTTTCCTTGGCAGCCGCTAAGGTTAGACGTGTTTTATGAGCTCGGCGATTTTTGTTCGTTAAAAGAAATGGATCAAAGAGAATTTGTATCCAATTTTGCTTAAAAAATGAAATAAATTCTGTGAAATGTTAACAAAGGCCTATATAGTGAGTCTGCTATAAGTAAGACAAGAGTTTACAAGTGGTATAAGAGTTTCCAAGATGGCCGTGAAGACGTTGAAGATGACGAACGCCCCGAACGCACAAGCACATTAACAACCGATAAAAACATGGAAAAAGTGGAAGAAATGCTTATAAACCATCAGAGAAGTCGCTGATGATGTTGGTATATCGATTGGCTCATCCCATGAAATTTTTTCAAATGTTTTGGGTATGAAACGCGTGGCAGCAAAATTTGTTCCAAAATTGTTAAATTTTGAACCAAATTTTTGGCCAAAAACAATACTGTAATGATGCTCCAGCCTCCATATTCGCCAGACATGCCTGTGTCTGACTTTTTCCTATTACCAAAAATAAAGAGAACCTTAAAGGGCCGTCGTTTTGCAAGCATAGATGACATTAAAAGCGCATCGCTGAAAGAACGTTCTTTCAGCGATGCGCTTTTAATGTCATCTATGCTTGCAAAACGACGGCCCTTTAGTACTAAAGGCTATCTCAGAGATCGAGTTTTAGAAGTGTTTCGAGTATTGGAAGAAGAGCTGGCACATGTGCATAATATCCAATGGGGACTATTTTGAAGGCGAGAACATTAATGTAGACGAATAAATAAATATTTGTTTCAAAAAACGAAAATTCCCGATATTTTCTGAACAGACCTTGTTTTAAAACGAACCACCCTAAATTTCTCGGAACCTAAAATTTTTTTGAAAAAACGCCGCGACACGTGTAGTTTTATATCGAGGGGGACAACTTTTCATGGCAAAATTTGGTTTCGCACCCCTACCCCTTGCCACCAGGAGCTACCCCCTTAAGAATTTGAATAAGAAAGGGGTATCGACCAATACATTATTTTAAAGGCCTTTAAAATCCCTACCATCAATGTTTTATTTTTTAAAATCGGTCTGTTTATTTTTGAGATATTTTAGAAAAACCATGGAATATGCTTTTAAAACTTCTCACCTTAAATTTTTTGAAAACTGGAAGAATTTGGAAAAAACGCGGACACATATATATCACATTATATCGAGGGGGACATATTTTGGCGCTACTGCTACTTTAACCTCCTTGAGTTCTGCAACCCCTAACTCAAAAATCCTAAATTGCAAAAGGTAGGTATCATGTGGCACATCATTTTAAAGCTCTTTTAATTTGCAATACAACTGTGTAGTTTTGTAATTTACCGAAGTAAAGAAAAAAACAATTTTTATTGTTATTAGCGTATTAATCTTTTTTTTGTGGGGATACCTTAAGGTATCATAATTAATTTATAATTATATAATTATAATTTATAATTATGTCGAAAGTTTTCGGGACACAACCTGCGTCTTTGGATGAACTACGTCAAATAACTCGAGCGATGTTCCCTAATGTGAGGGAGGGTTTTGAATCCAAGCTTTATTATTGTTTACACTCTTAGAAAAGACCTGGTATTTGCAATGAAAATTTAGTTCCCAGAACCAATTTTATTAGTGAAAATAGGCACAACAAAAAAATATGTTGTGGGAACTAATACAAATTTGTTTTTACAGTTTGTTGTCGGAACAGCCAATATTGGTAGCTCCAACCAACAAGTTTAAGTGCATCGAAATTAGTTTTTTTTTCATACAAATAATTGATATTTAATGCAATCACATTAGTCTGTCATTTTAGCAGCGTCTAAGTTGTAACAACTGCACTTGCTATTTATCGCAACAAACATTGTATCATGCAGAAATTTATTTTTTAATTGAAATTACATGAAAAAAGGTACATTTAAAGAATTTAATAGTTGATATAATATAAATTTGTTTTGTACTGTAACTAAGTTATATTTAATATTAAATGCTTGCATTAGTAGCAACAACAAATTGGTAATATTCCACAGTACATACCTACCTGCTTAGTAAATATATCACTTTTTGTGTAAATATTATAAAAAATAGAGAAAGGAAATTCATACCCGTTCGTTTTATAAATATTTATTATAAATTAAAATATAACAATATAACTGAAAACACCAAATTTTGGTTTAAACATTATAACAAAAATTAATAATTACTCTAAGAAATCATTTATAAATATTTTAACAATAAAACAAAAACGATTCTTTGGTAAATATACACAGATAGGTACATTAAGATGAAATTTGACTATACTTCTTCAGTAAACCGTGATGTTTACGTGAAGTGCAAGCCTTTGTTTAACAACTTAACAATGATTCTTAGGTACAACGTAACATACTTGCATGATAACAGGGGTAAGCATTCGATAAATTTTGAGTGTGAGTGCCTATAGTAGATATAGGCCCTATACCAAAAATGCGACTTGAGCTGTAACAAAACAAAACAAAAAATTCTCGAAATTCCGACGTGATGGAGACTTTTGGTGGGCACCATTGGATTCAGGAGACCATTTTCAGTCGGAATGGCATTTTCACATTTTTGGATTTTCGGATCCCAAAACTACAATAGTGTAATTAAAGGAGTGCAATAATAATACCTAACCTTTAAAAACTGGAACCAATTCAGGTAAACCCCATGTTCCTAATAAATCTGCTACTTCAGTCCGCTCATCCATATTATTTGTTCGAGATATCTATAAGTAACCAACACATAAGAGTATAATCTTATATATATGAATAGTTAAAAAGTATGTCGCCCCTGAATTTACAGGGGCAAATGACTAATTGTAATAAACTAGTTTCTTACCTAAAATATACACTACACACGAGCTGATAAACAAATACAAAAGAAAACCACCGAAGTCTGGACGCCGCGGCGCGCCGTGCAAAACCGTTTGTTTACAGGCTAAAAGTAAAGCACGCGCCAGGCTGGACAAATCGCGCTCGAAATGCACAAAGTTTGCAGTTGCATTAACCTACAGAGACAACATCCCCAACTGACACTTTGTTTCACACCGCTGGTGTCTTAGCTGTGTGAAAAGCGACGCATAGTTTATACAACCGAACCGTTAGTTCCACGGACTAATTTCAGTCAGTTGAGAATGTTACTTAAATATTTGGTCCAACAAAAACATTTTACCGCAGAAATGATTTTTTTGAGATAATGTTGTCAATACTTCTAGCCAACACAAAGTTTCAGTTAAAATAACTTAATCGCCTTCTTGCAGTAAATAATACTCAACAACAAAACTAAATCTTTTCAGGTAATGATGCAAGCAGTTACACATATAAAGGTACTGATTACAAAAAACAAAAAATTTTATTTTCTGCAACAGTTTTACCCCAACGATAATAAGTTAGTTACAAATACCAGGTCTTTTCTAAGAGTGTACAAGAGAACGGGGGACATTTTGAACATTTTACCTAAAAATATTAAAAGAGTTTTTTTAATTTCAATTGTAATTAATAAATAAATTTGTATACCTATTCGTTTAGATTTAGTAAAAACCAATTTCCAAACAATAAATATTGTTTTTTTTCTTGAGAACCAACCGATAAATTACAAAACTAGCTACACAGTTGTATTGCAAATTAAACGAGCTTTAAAATGACGTGCCACATGATACCTTTTGCAATTTAGGATTTTTGAGTTAGGGGTTGCAGAACTCAAGGAGCAGTAACAGTAGCAGTAGCAGTAGCGCCAAAAGTTGTTTCCCTCGATATAAAAGTTTACGTGTGTTCGCGTTTTTTTCCAAATTCTTCCAGTTTTCGAAAAATTTAAGGTGGGAAGTTTTAAAAGCAAAATAAACAAATAATAAATAAAGGTAATTCTCTCTTGACGTATTTTTATTATTTCTTCATTTCTGAACATTTAATTAATTTTTAAACTAGCAAGAAAATTTAAAAAGAATATTTTTTTTCGTAAAACGAATAAGTACCTACTTAATAAAAAAGTTTTTCCTATTGAAAACCTGATACAGGACACACTGTATTTATAGACCTTTTTTCTCGGCTTACTTCTTAACGGCTTTTAATCGTTTTGTAGCATTTTAACAATTTTTATACTTTAATAAATTTATTAAAATGATTTATTTAAAAATTTGTAAATACGTCCGCTTTACAAGTCTTAATTTTACTATAAACCAATATTTTACAAAATATGTGTTTATCAGACGAAAAGTCGTCTTCATATAATTACTTAATTACCAATTTCAGAAAATTAAGCTCATTAATCCAATTTTCATTTTTAATTGCACATTTAATTTTAAGCAAATCTGATTAAACAGTTAGATTTTCGATTTTAACCCACAAATTAAGTAAGTAAGTGTGTCATATAAATTATAAGGGAATTATCTATTTAAGTATATGAAAATAACAATATTTTTAATCATTTTCAATTTTAATAAACTTTAAACTTCGCGCCACTTCTGGTTATGTTTTCATACGGTTGCCTGCACTGCATTTGAGTCAGAAATTCTGACAACTTTGACAGTCCAAAGATGGCAGAGTGTTGACGTTTGTGTTGATCTCGTTATTTGCATTTTATTTTACTTTAAACTAAATTTAATTAAGCACCGAAATGAGCAATCACCACAACAATGGGGCCAGAGCCAGCGAAACAGAGCAAATGGCTCAATCACAGTATTTAAAAGTGTTTGTTCAAAGGGATTATAGTGAGGGCACTGTTGTTAAGTTTCAGACGAGGTTTCCACCCGAATTAGAAGGAAAAGTGAGTCATGTTGTTTGCGATTGCCCTATTGTTTATATTGTATATAAAAATTATTTTTTTTTATATTTTTTAGTTGGATCGACAAATTTTTGAAGGAACAATAACTAGACTGAACTCATATTTTGCTGAAGCTGAAAAAGCCACCTGTTCTACATACTGCGAAGGCTGTTTGGCTTGTTTAACTGCCTATTTTATATATATTTGCAAAGAAACACACTATGAAAAAGTGAGTATACATATATACACAAATATATCTTATTATACCTCATTAAAATTTCTTTTTAGTGTCTGAAAAAGGTCTCAAAATTTATAGCTGAGCAAAACGAGAGAATGTATGAGCCAAGAGGATTAAAATTGACAGACCCAAGTATGAGGGGGTTACGAGTGTTGGAGATTAGTTGTCTGGATAGGCCTCCTAATGTATGACTTACACTGTCTCACTCCACACAGGAGTTTTTTATGTAATTTTTGTGTCCTTGAATCAAGCTGACTATATCAATTTATTTAAGTGGTGATATTTTAAAACTTTTGGTTATAGCCAGGTTAGTAAGATTTATTATAATTATTTAATATTGATTTGAGTGCTAGAAAAATCAAATTAATTTAAGGTTAAAATATTTTAATGTGCATTTAATTACATTTTGTATTCATTTAAAGTTGTTGAATTACATTAAATTATACATTTATTTATTTATCTTAGTTTTGCTAACCTTTCAAATGATTTTAAAATACCTAACTTTCCTTTAAGTATGTATATATTTTGTAAACACAGATTCTATGGTTTATAATATGGTTATATTATAATAGAAATATTTATATGTTGTTTTTGTCTTCTAAAATATGATTTCATTATTTTTAATTTATAAGTTTATTTATTGAAATAATTGGTGTTAAGTATGTGTCAGATTTTTTTAATTTGTTTTTAACATCTTTGTGTATTTTTTAATAAACAAAGTAAAAAACAAGTTTTGTAATTTTTTTTCATTATTAATTGAATTCAATTATGATATTTGATGTGTTTATGTTCTTTAATTTCAAAATTCATCTATTGGGCCATGAGCATGGGGGTGGGACGAAACAAATCACAAAACTGATTTTATATAAAAAAAAATTTTGGTATCAAAATTTTTAAAAATATTTTGTCCCACAGTCATTTAAAATTGAGACATTAACCATGGAGCCTACACAAGGAGTCCAAACTTCATGTATACAAAAATCTTCCTAAGATAAGAGGGCGCTGGTGTTCTGTTGATTATTTGATTTGTACCGAAACGCTACCAAAACAGCAGACGTCAATACGCATCAACAATCAGAGTCACTGTTGGTGAAAAAATAGACTTAATTTGTGTGTTGTGGTTTTTTCAATTTACCCTTTTAAGTTTGCATTATACGCTCGAAAACAATGGACAAAGTAAGCTATTGTTACACTAGTTGAACAATTAAAATATTGTACCACTACTGGAATAATGAAAAAGAAGAAAAAGACAATAATTGTTAATTTTGTTGACAACTATTATATACAAAAAATTACCCAGTTAATAAATACTTACATAAATATGATTTGAAACATTGTTCGCATATTTAAAATGAAATTTTAAAGGCAAATAGTTAATTCCAATAAAACAATGTTAAAAAACTTAACCTCAAAAACCAGTACACTTATGTTCTGTGCCAATACACTTATCTGTCAAATCATTTTTACAAAAGATTAATTTTTTATTTGATTGTGGAACAAAATAATTTGTGCAACACGTAAAGAAAAATTGATTATAAACCCGCATTCATGATACATGATGATTGTTTCATGCCTAAAGTGACCAGATTCTTTCAAAAAATAGGGCTACATTTTGTATGAATTTACCTTAATTACAAAATGATACAGCGCAAATTATAAATTTGACGTTTTATGTAAATTGAGATTTTGTGTTTTTATTATGAATGAACAATTATATAATATACCAGTGGCAATTATACCATTGGCGACGAAGGCGTGCAGTTGCGCTTATTTATTGTTGAAACGAAGACAGAATTAATTAATGCGCATCACGACAAATTCGTGCGATTTTCGCAAAATATTGAATCAATCTGAAGATTCCCGCCCCCCAGTTTCAAATCTTGCGATTTGCATGATCTGTCAAACGTCAAAACGCTTTTCCCACCAAATCGAATTGACCAATGAAAACATTTTTCGTATTTCGCATTTCGCATCTAGGTATATGAACCGCTTTTAATCATGCCTGCATGCATTCTTGTCCCTTTTGCGTGCCAAACGTATGCTCTATTTTCTTCACTAGTTGCACAATATACTATTATTAGGTTAGTCTTATGAAATAGTATACAGGGTGTCCAAATGGTGCACGTTATATTCCTAGACCAAAATGGTCTAGGGTTATATTATGAATAAAAATATACATTCTTTTCGGACCAAGACTTCAGTTATTTATTTGGAAAATTTTTAAAAGTTTATTTGGTGACCGGGGACACCCCAAGCAGCATTTTTGGTTCCAAAAACCATTGCCAAAGTGGTGATAACTTTAAATTAGTTAAGTATACTAAACAGCTACTTTAATTTTTACTTAAAAGTAATTCTAACTTTTAAATAGCAATATTTTGTAACAGAAACTTAATTTTTCCTTAAATGGTTACTATAAAGTAATAAACATTTGAGTAAAACTTGGTTGCCCCCAAGAAGACTTTGCAACTTTAAAAAAGGTGTTATAAGTAAAAAAAAACTTTCAAGTCAATTTAATTTGTAGCAGTTACTTTCGGTTGCCACCTAAAGATTACATTATAATTATTTTTACTTCCTAGTCCCTTTGAAAGTTAAAATCTCGAAACTGGAACATGAGTTAAAAACTACAAAGTTAATAACTTAAAAGTTATTACTTTAGTATTTGGAACGTTTATGGTACTAACCAAAACAACCGTAAAGTGGAAAAAAACTTTAAAGTAGCGAAAACTACTTCAAAGGAAAATGCTTCTTATCGGCCATTTTTTACTGTACAGTACCACGTGGTAACCCAAGTAACATTTTTAGTTTTATTATGGTCTTCAAGAACGCTTTAAAACAAAATTTTGTTTTAAAGCGTTCTTGAAGACCATAATAAAACTAAAAATGTTACTTGGGAATGTAGATAATAAATTATTTTAATTGTTTGTAAATGGTTGTTTACTTTTTAATTTTGTTGGTAATAGACGGTATAATTAATTAACCCTTTAAGTGGCAGAGTCACTATACTGACCACCCTCGTGATTAAATGTGGCGCCAAATATTTGAACACCCAACCGTACTTCTGCTATCAATAATAACTATGGGGCAAAACACCTCAAGTGTTCCCACCTAAAAATGATGTTTTCTCGGATTTTAACAAAACTTTGCCAAATCATTGTCCTATTGGACTACCTTAATTTTCCAAATGGGGGGCAAAAAGGATTAGCGGGTTGCAGAGATACAGGGGCCTGAAAATTTATTTTTTTTCTCGTGCGCTTAAAAGACGTCGAAATATTCATGTATATAATAATTTTTTTTAAATTGATAATCAACATATCGTATAGAATTTTTTCCACGCTTTACGATAAAAATGGTCTCGAAAGCGAGAAAAAATTTTTTGGTTATAAAAAAACGATTTTAAAAATATATTTGTTTTTTTCTCGAAATGCGACCCATTTGATTTTTTTTAAATTAATATCAAAAGAAAGCTTGTTCAATTCCCTAAATTTTGATGTAATATGAAGATGGGATCCCAAGAATAAGTCTAAAAAAATAAGGGTTGAAGCGCGTAGGGACCGTGCGGCGAGCAGCTACTAGCCCTGCTGAAAAAAACTGATCGAAACTCGATCTTTTTTTATCATATTTGATCATGGTCCAGAAAATTCTCGATCCTTTTTTATCATATTTAATGAGGTTCTAGAAATTCTCGATCCTTTTTTATCATTTTCGATCAGATTTCGCAGTCGATCCTATTTGATCATAAAAACACGATCAAGTTTCGATCCTTTTTTATCATATTTGATCAGATTTCGAAGTCGATCCTATTTGATCATGAAAACACGATTGAGTTTTGATAACATATTATCGAAACTCGATCGTGTTTTCATGATCAAATATGATCGACTACTAGGTTCTTGAAATTCTCGATCCTTTTTTATCATTCTCGATCAGATTTCGAAGTCGATCCTATTTGATCATAAAAACACGATCGAGTTTCGATCCTTTTTCGAACATTTTTGATAAGGTTTTCGTGGTCAAAAAGGATCGTTTCGATCCTGTTTTCATGATCAAATAGGATCGAGTTTCGATCCTTTTTGATAACGAAAACAGGATCGAAACTCGATCCTTTTTCGATCATTTTCTATAATGTTTCCATAATTAATTCTAAAATAAAAGATACAATTTTCAAAACATGAAAACTTTATTGGGCACTTTCAAAAAGATCGGATGACAACGATGATGATGATGAAATTCGTAATTATAATTACATTTCCTTATTATAAGAAAAAGTAGTATTATGTACTACTTTTCATGCGCTACCTTATGATGATTAATTAATGATACGAGGTATTGCGCCTAGGCCATCGATATATTTAAATTAAAAAAAGTTCCAATAAAATAAAATCTTGACATACTTGTCTAGGGAAATCTAGGGATTTTTTTGTAAAAAATCTGGGGAAATAAAAAAATATCATCTGGCAACCCTGTCTGTAATGTGTCTATAATCTGTGCACGTGCTTGTCATTTTGGTTAGTGTTTTTTGTTATCGATTTTACGGTTTTACTGTGGGTTTTTCTTTACTATAATAATTAAAAATTCGATGAAAAGTACTGATTGCCATCAAACAAAAAAAACTTATGATTTCCGAGTTGCGGCAATTTTTTATGAATTTTGTTTTTTCGGCCCCTGAAAAGTAAGGTTATGTATACAAATTTTACAGGAACGCCTAAATGCAGGAATGGGCTCCATCTTAATATAATTTTTGCGTAAAATAAAACAAACCAAATCAAACCAAACCCAACCAACCCAACCCCCCGTAACCGCCCTATTGAAGCCTAACCACCCTATTGAAGACGATTATTCCATCGTGCATTGCCCTTTATCTCGAACTTTGTTACCGATGGAATAATCGTCTTCAATAGGGTGGTTAGGCTTCAATAGGGCGGTTACGGGGGGTTGGGTTGGTTGGGTTTGGTTTGATTTGGTTTTATTTTACGCAAAATTTATATTCAGATGGAGCCCATTCCTGCATTTAGGCGTTCCTAATTTTACTATGAATTTATTTGTTATAGGTAAATTTAAAGACAGCAAGATAGCAAGATGTCAATTAATTTAACCGCTGATGGACCATGTGCTTTTGTTAAATTTTGCGACACGGGGCACAAAAAAAGGGTGTTGCTGTCGGAAATTTCAAATTTCGATGCAAAAACTTTCTCTCGAAACAAGAAATACTTTATTGAACGTGAGGGAGCAACTGCGCAATGCGTTGTTTCTTTTTTTGCAAGTAAATAATTAATTTTTAGTCTTGATTATTGCAAATTGTATATAGTTATACAGGGTGATTCAGTTTTAACCTACCAGGGGAAAATGTTCCTCCCATTATCCTGATTCAGAAAAATATCACACATAAGTTGACA